AATGTTTTCCAATCCTGGCATTGATGTCAGGACAGGATGTTACTGTATACTGCATATTGGCTATAAATTAAGGAAATATCTAACTAGGATCAATTTCATATTAACACAGTCTTTACCAGCTTTAAACTCTATTTATAAAAATTAATATTAACTTAATATTTTCAACAATAATTAATATGTATACTTAATGAAAGTCTAACCAACCAGGAACTTTCATAATCAGTATTACAACAAAACACAGAACTCCAACCTGGCTCTGTAAATATCAAAATCTGACAACTTGATACAAAAAAATTCCAATTTCTATGGCAAACAGTAATATTCTGCATCTTGAAGATAACGCCACACTTACACCTTCATTCTTCAGAAAAGGCAAGAAAATATATTTCTTAATGCTTTCTACATTATCTTGTCTCAGAGTTACACAGATCAAAGAAGGACTCAACCTTTATAATGATAAATGTACTCTCTCATTTCATGTACCCCTACAGATTTTGCAAGAACATCACACACCTTCCTTTTTCAATAAGATTCCCATTTTAGAAAGTTAATTTAGAGCTCTGATTATATGCAATATTTCTATGGAAAGAGCACTCAACTATTCTTATCCATTCTAATATCAACACTGGCTTTTATGCTTAAGATAACTAAAATACATCCAGCTAAATAAAAAAAAAAATTGCAAAGCAGAATTAATCTTGACATGAATATGCAGGGCATAAAAGCAAGCACCTCAAATGGTCTTTGGCAGCAGCAAATTAATTTCTAATATTTCAGTCTTTGGAGTGACAACAACTGAGTATTTGCTCTATGTTGGCAAGAAATCAAACCTAAATCAAATGGAAAAAAAATTGCTTTTTCTGTATGCAAATATGGCTAAGATTCATCTGATCAGTAATTGCAAATCAGCAAAACACCACCAAAACAACACAGCAGATAATTAATCTTTTTTTTCTTTTGTTCAAATTAATTTGCATCAGAATTAATTTACAAGTGAAAGTCTGCAAGAACAATATGCTCAATTACACACTTTTTTTTCAATATCTATCAGGTAAGAACTGAAATCAACTACCAGGTATTTGACAGGAGAGAGAAGCATTATCTTTCTTCCCTTCCTAATGCATAGAATCATAGAGTGGCTTGGGTTGGAAAGAACCTTAATGATCATCTTGTTCCAACTCCCCCACCATGGATAGGGATGCTACCCCACTAGGTCAGGATGCTCAGGGTAATTCCTAATAGAAGTTTTTGTTCATCTCCTTTAGTGATTCAGTAATCTTTTTTAGTATGCTAAGCATTACTATATGCTTACCAGGTCTCAAATGTGGTAAGCCAAGATTAGTCCATACTGTATGGAAAAAGTAATCATAACCACTCTTGCAACTGGCAATATATTCTTGGAGGAAAAAAGAATGATGCATTAATAACTCCTGCCAGCTGTCCTAGAGAAAAGGTTACAGAGGCAAAGATGTCATTATTTTGGCTTCCAAGAATATTTTGATTAATTCAGTTGAACAACCAAAGCACATAGGTAGGACAAAACTTAAAACCAAATGCGTTTCTAATATGCATCTAAAGGTGGCAGCAACTGTTTATTCTGACCGGCCCAGAATTAGTCTTTGAAGAGCTTCAAATGCTGTATCTCAATATTCTATCCAGAAATGAGAGTCAAATCCATCCTCAATGTCCACTTACTGTTATGGCAAGAATTAAGTTTTTCTAATGAACACAACCTCTAAGTGACAACATTTCTGCATACCAAGCATCTCCAACTATTGTTTTTTACATTACTGATGTAAAAGCAATACAACCTGATTAACATGGCCATCAAATAACAGCTTGATGCAAAGATACTCCAAATTAGACATATTCCAGTATCAGAACCTATATGTTACAACGATACAAAAGTAGAAAATATTTCCTACCTCAGACAGAAAAGCCCTCTAGCCCAAAATGTCTGCCTTTCCTCTCCTAAGTAACATTCAGAATGCACGTAAGCTTTGGAGAGGGCTCACCTAAATTCCAAACAAAATACAAGCTTGAAGTATTTAGTACAAGACACCAGTGGGAGGAATCTTGTTACAGTCTTCCTAAATCTGAATTAGTTCTTTGTTCTCAGAATTAGTACCCACACCTTCAAATCCGTTCTCATTATCACTGTACTTACTAATGCCATTAATCAAGGAACAGAAAACAGTCTAGCCTATTTAACTGTTAAGGCTATATCGTTACACAATGCTCAAATGAAAATAAGACAAAAAAATTATTCTGGAGCAGAAGAATCAGGGGCAGGGCTCTGGTTTGTAGGGAGAAACGTGTGGGTGTACGAGAGAAGGTAAGAGGATGAAGGCTATGAAGAGAGCCTGCAGTTCCACAGAAACACTCTTATTTATTTACAGCTAAGCTCTAAGCACTTCCTGCAGAAACAGGAACAGCATGAATTTCACTTTATTCACTCTTATCCCTTAGGAAGGTGTAAGGCTCAGTAACATAAGTAGGCTTGTAAGCAAGCCCTTCAGATTCTTTCATCTTCAGTTCCACTTTCCTTGGTGGAATTTTAAATTTTTTCCCAAAATATGCATTAGCTACAGGATACACGTTACATATATCATATGCATATCTATAGCCTTACTTACAAAAGCATATGGGCTTATGCATATATCTATTCTAATAATTTTTTTTTTAAATTTTGTAGTGTATTAGAAGTTAAACTGGATTACAATCCAAAAAAGTACTTTTCACATGCCTCAGAAAGTTCAGAAAAATATCACTTAAAACACAAATACTACCTTGGTAGAGGGGATGAAGTGACATGCCTCACTCATCTGAAATCTGACCGCACTGAAATTTAAGAATGACTTGAATATACTGCTTTGACTACTTGACTAAATACCCCAACAAAACAGTAACAACAAAAAAATTCCAAGTTGCAAATTCTTGACTGAATTTCATAAATTTCAAGCTATATTCTCAGGTATATGTTCTTTGGTTTGCTTATCTACAGTTGGACCTTACTTTCTCCAGATAAGATGAACCTGAGATCAACAACACATTTAACTGTATTTTTCATAAAAAACCTGATTTATCACAGGTTTTGGACTAGACGGGTTTAGATACACACAGTTGGCTCAGAAAGGCTGACACACAGCAATTCACTGACATTTATGGTCAACTAGTACCTGGTTTACAGTTGTTAAGTTTCCATCAAATTTAAACCTACCCACAAGGAGTGTGAAGGAACCTCACCCACTGTGAGGAAAAAGCTGACAGTGTGAACAACAGCAGAAACACTGTATCCATGAGGAGATTTATTAGTCCCTGCACCAGGTCCATACTCTGTACTCTGTGTGTACACACACAGATCAGATCTGTGCACCGTCAGAATGACATGCAAGGAATATGGAAATGGTCACCATCTGGTATAAGAGGAGCACTGAATATACCCATTTTAGCTAGGAAGTTGTAAAAAGGAAAATGTGAGTAAGCTTCGTGGATTGTGGCAGGTTCTAATGTGTCTTAAAAAAGTAGAAGTTAAGCAGATTTTTACAAACCTCAGTAGCGATTTTTTTTCCACTGTGATGACAGTTGTTTAGGATAAAGTTAATAATTGGGTGAGTTGAATCACGAATTCAATTTTGGACAGGTCAAGCTTAGGAAAATATCAGTTCAGAGAAGAAATGTGTGGTGGTTTATTCATAACTTATTTGCAAGAAGGCTGGAAGTGAGCAATATTAACAAACAGGTAACAAAAGACTTTCATATGAAATGGAAAAATTGTAGAACATATCTTTTCCTGTCAGTGCTCCTCCCTGCTCACCACCATGCCAAAAAGAAAACAACCCTATTATTGTGGAAAAGGAAACAACGAGACAGGAAGCTGACAAAAATTTTTGCACCTTTTTTTTCATAGTTTGAGAAGACACTAAATGAAAAGGATGACTGACAAAGTTATTGGTAACATCAGTGTCAGCAGCTAAAATGAAAGCACCAAACTGGAGATGGCGTACCCCTTCTTCAAGTTTACCTTTGGGAAAGGGATGCAAGACAAAATAACTGTCAGAAAAAAAAAAAAGAATGTATAAGGGTCGTTGTACAAAATAATAGTTCTGATAATAACACGCAGGAACGTATTCTAGATTTATGTGAGGTGAATTACCAGAAAGAACTGAGTAAGGCTATCTGTATTTATAAGTGATGTCTACTGGGGGAAAGAACCAACAACTAAACAAAACCCCAAGTCAGCTTGCACTTCTCTTTTACAGTTTGGAGGCTCATTGAGGAAAACAATTTTTTATTCCAGCTGTGAAGAACACCAAAGGTGTGAAAGTGTTCTGGTTTAGAGCACACAAAAATGAGACTATCTTCAGAAATTTCAGACTAAAACTACACCATTTTATTTTCCTAAAGCTTTATGAAACTTTATGAAATATGTGAAAATCCTCCCCCCAAACTAGTTTTTGTTACTCAGGAAGTATATGGGGTAAACACTGATTTCACATATTGACCAGACTTTTTTAACATAACCAGATATTTTTAGTATAATCCTGGAAATTCACCTGAGATATGGAACTTATCAAATGTTAACAAAACTCTAAACTAAATGATTTTTACTAAGATGAATGTAAATTCACAAAAAAACATAGGAAGTTTAGTAAAAACCACTTTTTCACAACTTGTGAGGAAATAGTAATGTGGAAGAGACTTTTAGTAGGACATGTTTCAGGCCACCCAGAAACAGGCTGCTTAAAATGAGGAGAACAACTCACAAGGTTGATGAAGGATGTCGACTCTAGAACTGAAGACCAGGGAAGCAAAGAGTTTGAAGTGATGCTTCAGGGAGAAATGCTAAAGCTTAGAAGATTACTGCTGTGAAATTAGCATACTAAGACCCATGATTTCAAGATGTCATTAGGCTGCTAGATCATTTGAACACAGAATAAATCACATGCAAATTGTTTCATGTCCAACTGCATAAAACATTCCAGCTTCAACTGACTTACCTCCCATAATTTTAGACTGGCAGTTGATAAATTCTGGCTTCTTGTCTGTAAGGTATCGCTGACAAGTGTGATGCAGAACCTGGAAGAATGTGCATTTTTCTGAAGCTGTGTTTGCTACCCATTGGTCAAAAGCATTTTCAAATATTAAATCAAATTCTGGGGAATCCTAGAAGAAAAAAACCCAAAAAACACACTATTATTCCAGTTTTCTAAATGATTTGGAGAAAGATAAAGAGCTATTATTTTTTGAAAAGTATCATGTTGGAAAAAGCAGAAAGCTCATGCAACTCAAAACCATCCTGGTATTACTCCATGTTTTTGGATGAAAAACCAAAGAGGAAGTAAGTTTTTTTCTTGCTTTTATTTTTCATGAGGAACACTCAGCTATGACAGAAAAACTTGAAACCAAAAATACTTTAGATCATAAAATTACAAGTCAGAATCTCAATAAAACCCTTGTTACTTACAGATACAAAGCTACTCGTGTCTTCTATATTGTAAGCATTATGTCTCTCAACACAAAATCTACTTTGACACTATATTTTCGTGGCTTTTTGCTCTTGATGCTCAACCAAACAAATAAGGTAAAAAAATAACAAGTCCTAGTTATTGTATTTAATGCGTTATCATAAAGTGTTGCACAGGTCTCAGGACAACATAAACAAGAGACCACTTCAAGAACAAATCAAAGTGCAGCTCTGTACTAGGCATCAATTGCCACAATAAAGGATTTTATGCAAGAAGTATTGCTAAATATTTAGCAATATTTGCTAAATACTGTTTTGCAATCTAATCTAGTAAATGTTCTTTTTTGATTGATGAAACTAGGAATTCACAGGAAGACAACTTTGAAAGGAACATTTCTAGGCTCAAGAACTTGATAGGATTTTCAATCTGTTATGTACATAGCTGCATAGCAGATGCTGTAAAAGGGCCTAAAACTCACATTCCTTATCAAATTGTCATTCCTCTCATTTTCACTCTTCCTTTACCCAGAGAAAATAAAAAATCCACTCCTTGCATTTCACAGGGTAGTGGCCAAGGGTTATGTTTTTGTATAAAAGGCTGTACTGGGTAGTAACAGAATTTGGTGCTGAACAGAGCACAGCTTTGAAGAAACCAAGGGAATTATTGACAAAAATATTTTGCTATACAAGGAACACAGTAATTTGCTTTATGATCATGCTGTATAAGCCACATTTCTAACTTCTAATTATGTTGTTTTACTGCTGCAGAATTGTATTAATAAGCTTATTACATGTTAGCACAACTTTGTCTTGAGACAGTTCAGAGACGGCTGTATATTCCACATTAAAGGACTAATTCCAGAACTATTCAGTGTAGGGTTGGTTTGTTTTATTTTATTTTTGGAAGGTTTTTGTTGAAATCAGTGCTCGCTTGCCATTGGCAAGTAAAGGACACTACCATCTTTGTAGCGAAAGATAAGAAATGCAGAAGTATCTGAGGAGAGCATTGTCCTAGAAAAAAAATGCAAGGTTCACAATACTTCACAAACTTGAACCTCAGCAACCTCTCCTGTCCTTGCTTCTACCTACTGTTCTATCTCACAACACAGCTGCATGCCAAAGTAGACCCCAAGAGGCTCATAGCTGAAGCCAATGCAAACAAGGCTCTTATTTTTCTCATTACAAAGAGTGAGAGTAGGAAAAGTAGGGAAACACAGGAAGAAAAAAAACCCTTACCACTGAGCTTTAGCCTTCTCCCACCTTTCCCACTAAAACTGACTTCACGTATTCCATTGAGTTATTTCTTTTTGAGAATTTGCACATTCCAGATGCCTTTTGAAGAGCAAAAGAATGCCTGCTTCACAGATCAGTTACGTAAGAGCTCAATCTTCATTTTCTGAACTTTCTAAACTCACCCGATTAGGATCTATACCATTGACCTGGCGAAGCTGCTCGAGCATCCACTGGGTTCTCCTGACAAAAGATGTAGAGCCTTCAAATTGCTTCACCTTCGTAATAGATGCTTGAGCTGGTTTCTTGTTTGTCACTGAACATATAATAAAGAACATAAATAATCAGTACACTACTCAAAATTTGATATATTTTAGCCATTATCAGCTAAGTTACTAACAGGGTGTAAAAAGACCACAAATAAAATGAATTTTTTTCCATTTGCATTCTTACAATCACAGAATCACACAACGGCCTAGGTTGGAAGGGACCTTAAAGATCATCTAGTTCCAAATCCCTTGCTGTTGGCAGGGATACTTTCACTCGACCAAGACGATCAGAGCCCCATCCAATCTGGCCTTAAACACCTTCAGGGATGCGGCATCCACAACCTCTCTGGACAACCCGTTCCAGTACCTCACCACCCTCACCGTAAACATTTTTTTTTCCTAATCTAAACCCACTCTCTTTTAGCTTGAAGTCATTTCCCCTTGTCCTGTCACTACATGCTCTTGTTTCCATCTTTCTGGCAGACTCCTTTCTGGTACTGGAAGGCTTCAATTAGATCATCCCAAAGCCTTCTCTTCTCAAGGCTGAATGAACCCAATTCTCTCAGCCTTTCCTCATAGGAGAGGTGCTCAGTCAAACCACTTTCTGCTCTCTTTTCCCCACACTAATTAGTTAAGCTTCTCATTTCCAACCTCTTAATAATTTATATTCCCTCATTTTAAAAAACAAAAAAGTAAAAAACCAAAAAACAAAACCTGTATCACCAGGTAAATATAAGTTCAGCTACATACCTTTTAAAAAAACCCTGAAATTCATGTTGTTGATTGAAAAAAACCCCAAACCACACAACATTTTTCCAGTCTTTTCTAAACGTGGTCCATGCAGGTCATGCTTGTTAGCATCAACACCATCTATAGCATTTAATTCCCAGTCAGATCTAAGTCCCCTTACAGACATAAACACATGAACTTACTACATAGAGAAAATAAACCTGCCAAGTCACCCAACAGACTTTGAAAAACACAGGTATAAGAATTAAGGAATTAAAGTTCACTTGACACCCCCACCCCCAAATATTAAGTACCACAAATAACAACAATAAATACGAACAATGCTATTTATTATAACCAAAATATGTGTTAAAAAACCACAAAGTAAGCCATGCAAGACTGCTCTGCTTTTGGAAAAGAATAAAAAAAGCAACATAAATGTTCAAATTAGTGTATCATTAAGTCAGAATCAGGTTTTCAAAGAGTACTTAAACATTACAGCCAGCTTTTCAACAGCAGGAGAACTAACTTCCTGTATTAGACATTTTCTCTAAACAAACATTCTTTTCATCAGTATAACCTTCAACTTCCATGACAGCAGTTTTAGACACTTTCTGTAGTCAAACATGTATTCTATTTACATGTTACATATCTGTTGCTGTGTGTTAAGTCACTTCCAAATACACTTCCACTTTCTGTGAAGAAACAATTTGTATAATCATTGTACTGCATAATCTACTACAGCTGGTGTGTCATCTGTTTTTCTACTTAAACTCCAAAAATACTTTTATCCATATGGTACACCAAATAGAGTATTACTGGAAAAGTCATTTCTCTCTGCTTTTAGATACAGGCAGCTAAAGAAGGCTTTTAAAATAATCAAGACTCGAATAGTAAGACTGCTTATTTTTGCACACCCTATTTGCCCAAATAACATGGAAAAGTAAGAGGCTTCCCACTCTGAAGATGCATGCTGCATGTACTTCTGCACCCAGAGGCACAGTTATACAGTAAGTAAACACTGATGTAACACCTCATCATTTCATAAAGTTAAAAAGTTAATATTGTTTCTTAGGATGAAACTTTTAAAATACACAGATCAGTGTCTTGATCTTAAATGTACTTTGGAATAAATTAGCAAATGCAGATTAATATGAAAAGCTCTTTTCAATATCTCAGATTTAAACATTTTCAGTTCTGTGTGTCTGAAAGTCCAAATGCCCTTATGAGAACTACACTTAGTTCATTCCTAAGGAAATTTTAGAAGGTAAAAGCAATTAAAAAGTGGGATGCTAGCATTCTAAATGGCAGGTAATTATTTTTAAGAAGATGCTCTGGAAAACATAGTTGGACTTAATATTTTGATCAGACTAGTGACAAGCAGGTAATAAACAGATTGCCAGTAGTTTCCGCACTGGCAGTTGAAGCACCAAGAGTCAAATTGGTACCTGGTGCAGTATGTGACTTAGAAATAGTACAGAACATAGAAGATGAATGCAGTATCACAAAGGTAGCAGGAAAATTAGACCAGAACAACTACTGAAATGCAAAGAGTGGATATTACTAAGAAGTGAGATTAGTATTAAAGATTCATTGTTCATTCAAAGGCCTATGCACCTGAGCCTAACAATCCCAATAAAGCAAAGGTCACAGCAATCCTATCTATACTCACAAAGTACATACAGGTTCTGTTTTTACTGCCGTCCACACAACACTAAGTGGGAAACAAAAGTTACACAAGCAGACCACAAGCCTATGTGCCTATTGTCCCTAAATTCACCCTTTATAGTATGCAATTTTTTTGTCAACTCCAGTGATCACTGAAAGATTCTACAGCAGTCCGCTAGACCAAGTTTCACATATCTTCTACAAAGCAGTACTAATTGAAGGCTATCTAACCAGTGGCTCAGGTTTTGTGGTCTGTGGATTATTCTCTTTCCATCTGAAACAGGCAATAATCTACTGCTGAATAAGACCTGTATTTAAAAGAAAAAATTGTGCATACTACATACATAAGGCACAAATATAATTAACACTAGTAGCATTGCAAAAGAAAGCGTTCAACACTAAGAAGCACTAGACAGAATGATTATGTGATTTAGTGCTATATTTTTCCCCTCAGAATCTCATAGATAACCAATTATGAAACGTATAGCCTTAAACTTTAATACAGCAAATTTCTCATTGCTCTGAAGACTTCTACATGACACACATTCTAGTGCTCTTGAAAACATGGGTCATTACATCTTTAAAGGTAAAAATATCAAATTTTACCAACATGATATTTGAACACTAAATGTCTAATCTCAACACCTCCAAATTGGCTGGTTTGACACATCCAAAACCTGCTTTTCCAAACTTCTTTGTATAGCACTTTGAATAATCAATGAGCAGCAGCTTTGTCTTCAACCAGACCCATTAGTGCTCTGTACTTCACTGAAAGATCACATTAGGTTTCTAAATTTCGGCAACTCCTAAAAATGCCTATTAGTGATAAACTATAAAAATATCTTGATTAGATGATTGTTTCTATATCATTCACCACACAGTAACAGTGGAAGAGGCCAAGAGGGCCGCTCTTCTATAGAGGAGCGTATAAGGATCTTGGATGTGTCAGTCATCTTTGGTAGGAATTCAGTCTTAAGTTACATGATGTGATCCTCTTGCAAAATGGCAGCTCCTCCTTTAAATTTTACACTCAATTACTGTGCACAGCCTAACAGATCTAGCTGCATTTCATCTTTTGTGCCTTGGTATTTTACAGAACAGCCAGCATTTCTATAGCATTTCAAAAAACAGCTACCTACAAACCCACCAAACGTGCCTGAAAACCTTCACTTAGTGCATGACAGCTTGACAGCAGCATGGCAGTCATTACAACTCTAAAAACCCCTTGGCAGCTGGGATAACCATCCTTGCTAGCTGCTCATTATGTTGTTTTAAAAACTAGAGCACTTCCACACAAGCCACTGAGTGGGTGTTACCTTGCAAACATGTAAAAAGTCTTTTCTAAAACCTGAAAAAAACGTGGAAGCAATTACATACTCCTAGTCACATTCTCTCTCTGACAAATCATTTGCGTATTTTTGCCAAAATCTTCCTCAGTCATAATCATGAGACCCTACCTGGAATACTGCATGCAGTTCTGGTGCCCACAATGTAAGAAGGACAGGGAACTGTTGGAGCAAGTCCAGAGGAGGGCCACAAAGTTGATAGGAGGACTGGAGCAACTCCCCTATGAAGACAGGCTGAGGAGGTTGGGGCTGTTCAGCCTAGAGAAGACTGCGTGGAGACCTCATAGCAACTTTTCAATATCTGAAGGGACTACAGGGAAGCCAGAACAGGACTCCTTGTTAGGAACGGCATTGATAGGACAAGGGGTAATGGGTTCAAACTGAAGGAGCTGAAGGTTAGATACTAGGAAAAGGTTTTTCACTGTGAGGGTGGTGAGATATCGGAACAGGTTGCCCAGGGAAATAGTGGATATTTCAATACTGGCAATGTTCAAAGCCAGGCTAGACGAGGCCTTGAGCAAACTGGTCTAGTGGGGATGTGTCCCTGCCCATGGGAAGGGGGGTTGGGACTAGATGATCTGTAAGATCCATTCCAAGCCCTAAAATTCAATGATTCTATGATCTACCTTAATAAAAGGCAGTATTTAAGTTATGCTTCAATGGTCAGTTCATATGGTATTAATGTTTGCCATTAGATGCAAATAAATAAGCTTTTTTTTTTTTTTTTAAGCAACATACATTTCCTGGTAAAGTAAGAACATGTGAGAAATCAGCTACAGCAATTTATGATGAAAGGCATTGTGAGGTTTGGCATTGTGACTTTTTATTGGCTTGGTTTTTGTTTGTTTGTTTTTAAGACTAGATTAACATACAATCAAAAACAGCTGAGTCAGAAACAGCACTAGGTCTTCTGGGACTGAAAACATTATTAAGCATTTTGCATCATAAATAAGTTACAGTATTAAGTTTCAAAGTCTGAGAGGCATGCATTTAAGTGAAATACTAATTTTGAAAGCAAATCAGAGAATAGGAGGCAGAAATAGATCAGATTTAGCTTTAGAGAATGCTGTGACAGAGTCAGGAAAGTCACTGTTCTCATTTGGAACACAGGGAAACTAAAGTACTTGAATTCCAGACCTCACTAAGAATCCAGTTCCACACCCATGTCTAGCATTTTAAGCAGCAAATCAATACAGCTCTTCACACACAGCTTTCCATATTTAAAGTCATAAACTGCCATACAGTCACAGTTCATCTCATTTGCAGTCCAGAATATATTACAGTTATTTTTTCAGTCCTCTAAAATAACTTCACTTGCATGAAAAA